AAAAAAAAACACAGAGCTGCCTTGTTGACATGAATTCAAGATTAAATCTCTCAGAAGATTTAGGAATTTACAACAAAGGGAGTTTGTTATTACTTCTTTACTTACAGACACTCATACTTGTTGCTACGCAACTCAATTCAACTGCTAGAATACGTTCATCCCCTGATCGAACAAATAAATATCCCGTTCCCTCAGCTAACGATTCCAAATATTCCTGAACAATTGCTTGATGCAATTAAAAACACCTGGACTATAATACATTTGATTGACTACCTACAATTACCAACAATACTTAAGAGCTTTTGCCCACTACTGTTTTGGTTTAAGAAATCGTTTACATTTACATCAAAGCTCAGTCAAGATTTTTGACACCTAAAAATAAGAAATTAAATTGTTTCTTACAATTGAAACATATTAAATGAGGAGTATATCAATTTAGAATGACTGATGGTCTCCACTGAGTTTATAACGATATTTATAATTATATGTACATTGAACTAAAAGTGTAGATTATAGATATTCTAACACAATACCTAATGAATAAACGATTGATCACTCTCTCAAGACCGTCCTTTATATCTGAAATTGGTATAAGATAAGATGTGAGTTACAATGATGTACAATATAAATAGAAGCTGTAAGTTTAACTGTTCCTTCCGAACATACATGTAATAGGAGATAACTTTTGAGGGACAGGTGCTTATCAAGGCCAAGCCTTTTTATACTACAGTACCAGAGTTCCGGCGTATCTGGTCTTCTGCAAAACTCCATCCTGGGAGATTGATTTTGTAGTGTTTTCTCTATTACTATAACTTTGTGTATACCACATGTCAGTTTATGTGTCTTATAAATAATAGTTGGAGCAGAGATTACTCCATAACAGTCGCTCACAAAACACTTCGAAAGATGACACCAGCCCAGCAGTCACCTTGAATGGTTTCCAAACTTTTGTAAATCTACTTCAAGTAAGTTTTAAACGGATTGTGTTAGGGATAAGAAGGTGAGACTAAACTCCTCATTTAAAATTTACCCACTTCAAATGAAAATAACATTTAAAAAAAGATGTCGCAAAATAATGGAATAGAAAACTTATCTCTAAACTCACTTTGAACTCCAGTCAGTTCCAACACCCAAGCGTGCCCCAGGAGGCTGGTAAATATTTGTACCACTACCTTGCTTGGTAAGTATTGGTGGTTTCCAGCCAATACCTACAGTTATAAATACAAGAGAATGGTCAAAAGAATGCAATGTGGAATGGATAATAACCAATCAGCTGGTAGCGTCAACCCAGGGATCCAATCACAGGCATCACGTGACACTACTTGCGCAAGTCCCAGAAGATATGGGAAAATATTTCTTGCAGTTAAATGTTATTTTGTGTTAAAGGACCTGAGGCAAGCAGTTTGCTTTGCCAAAAACGAAGATGCAGTGACTAACTGAATTACAGTAGATGACCATTATGCTACTTAATGTTAAATAACAAGATGCACACTAATTGAAGATCACTGAATTGTGCTGAATGGGCCTGTTACATACCTCCAACACCACCAGCTCTGTTTTGTGTCCCACCGCCAAAAGATGGCACGTACGTGCTGCCTCCCACAGCATTCCCTGTCTTTCCATAGGAGACTTTTCTAGTGTACATTGAGGGCGCTGGGTTGTGAGTCACCTGAGGTTGCGCGTTCATTGTTGAACCAGGGAAGTATCGAGCTTGTTTCATGTAATGCTGTTTGGCACTCGGTGGTGTCTTTCTGTTAACACCTGAATCGCGTTGCACACTGTGAAATCAAGGGGCATGTAAATTAGTTTAGGACATATCTTTGTTAGAGCTCAGCCCGTGTTTAGTCAATTCTACAGTCCACCCGCTCACTTGGCTTGAAATCGTCTCCTTGTAGACCTTGTTTTCTTGGTAGGTGTTGTACCCAGATACCATTCCCTGGTTTTCCCCATATATTTATGGCCTGAGTGCTTCATGCATGAGCCATTAGCTGACAAGATAAATAAAACTCAGGGTGGTGACTTGTGGTCAAGCCTTGACCAGAACTTTTGTATTGTGGCCTTGGACAAGATGCTTTATTCTCACAGTGCCTCTTTTCACCCAGTTCAGCAAATTGGTACCCACAAACTCTTAGAAAATACTTAACAAAATACTGGGGTGGGGTGGGGTGGAGGTATCTGCAACAATTAAGCTGTCCATCCCAGGAGAATAGCAATACTACCAGATGCTCAATGCTATTGGAGCTCAGCACCACAACTACAGTAAGCTTTCTGGATCCTTCAATCCATTGGCTTGGTACAAATCTTTGAAATTATTAATATCAATGATCAAACTTAACTAACCTTGAGAAGGAATCAATTGGGTCTGTCCTCTGAACAGGAGGCTTCAAAAGTAACATTAGATTAGTTAGACAGTATAGTTTGAATCTTGATTTCTCAAACCCTTGAATATCCTGATAACTACAGCCAAAAGTCGTTTTGTTTTGATTACTCTACTCAAACACCATCTTTTCACTAATGATTTCTCAAACCATCGATACCATAATGATTGAATCGATTTAGCGCCCAGGCTCGTCTTTACTTTTGCTACCTCAAGGGAGGGCACTTATTTGAGACAGGGTGCTTATTCAGGACAGGGAGCTTATTTCTTTTTTGGGAAACAGCTGAATGTTCAAAACTGTAATACAGTATGAACCCCTGTTGATATGTCCCCTGACGTCTCTCTAATATTAAAATATTAGAAGAGTGGCACTTACTAGGACGAGGGCACTTATTGGAATGGGGGTGCTCATTAATAAAAACACATTCGAAGGGGGTGCTTATTTGAAAGGGGGCACTTACTGGAAGGAGGACCCTAAATTGAATCATTACTGTAATTCAAAACTTCCACAAACATGAAACCATCTGGGATCCTGCGGGATGGATTACTGGATTACTTGAGCCTTTGAAAATATACATGTAGAAACTATTCCCACTTCCATTGAGGCAAATTAACACTACCAGACAAGTTGTGGTCTCTGTTTTTAACATTGCATTGCACATGTATGTTGTGATTGCAAGATCAAAAGTATCTTTCATAAGACATTCAGCTTTTTCGCAAATGATCCACACATTCATAAACTGTGCGACACAAACATTTCCAACAATGTAAAGAACAGTTTGTCAGTTGAAATACAGAAAAAAGGCAAGAGCTTAGTACTTTTCACTGATTTGACATGCATTCTTTCAGTCTGCTTACAGCTGTAAATGAAGGTATGAGTGAGGTTCAAACATTACCCAGGGGCAGATCTAGGGGGAGGGTGCGGCTTTCTAATATAACTGGTATTCTGCAAAAAAACTATGTGGTTTATTAGTGTTACCCCATTCCTTAGTGGTGCACCCCTGGATCTGCCCCTGTTACCTTTTCACCCTGTTGTATTATATATCAAATAACAATGACTGTGTTTGAGCAACTTTCCAAACACAGAAGAGGTTGAAACTACAATGCAAAGTGGAGCATTTTTGAGAGAATTTGGAAATATGGTCAAACACTGTCTTGAATGTTTGATACATATGTATACCTTCTCAACTATATCTACAACTTAAAAACTTAAAGAGAAAATGGAGAATAATAATTGTAACTTCTATGCTAATTACGATCAGATATCCAAACACCATCATGGTTGTTGTTTCCTTTGTTTAAACTTGATGAATATTATTAATGGTTGAAAAAATATCAATAGCACCAACCTTCTTAGTGAATGCTGATGTATTACTTGTATCAATCTCACTAAGCAGGGATTCAAATTCATCAGTGCTGTCTTTAACTCCACTGCCTTCACCCCATCTTTTCCGGGCACTCCCATAACTAAGGGCATTGCCAGCCTTTGCCACAGGAACTTTTCTGACAGTACCTGCCTCTCCACCAAACCTCCTGTTTTCATTTCCACTACCAAAGCCCGAATTGACAGAATCTTTCCTCTCTTGAACTGGCTGTTGGTATTGTTGTTGTGGTGGTTGGGGAGGCTGTCTTTGCTGTAAAGGTTTTATTTGTGGGGCAGGTTTAGGCAGGTTTTGCCCAACTTGGAAGTAAGGATATTTCAGTGCTTGTGCGCATGTTGGTCGCTTTTTTGGATCCCACAGTAGCATGTCTCTCATCAACTGAATGGCTTCAGGGCTGGCATTTGGAATCAACTCTTTCAAAGGTGTTGCAATCTGAGAACAATGTAACATTATGAGAGATTTTCCAAGCTGAGTCTAAGACACTTACAGTAGAACCTTGCTTGCTCAAACTTGATTATCTTGAACCGGGGCGGGGGGAATCCCATATGAAAAGGACGGGAGTGCTCATCAAAGATTTTGAAAAGAATCTGTATGAGGTACCAAGATCCTGTTTTGTGAGTGTGACTGGAATTTTTTTCACCCCAGAGGTACCAATTCTAAAACAACACATAAACTGACAAATATGACTTCTTTCTGCTCAATAACCCAAAAGGTTAACGGCTACTAAAGCTCCCACTGAGGACCTTTTAAGGTTGAACACCATAAGAGGTGCCAAACACGCATTTTTAACCCCTAAAAGGTGTGGGAGTTCCCCCCTCTAGGTCTTCAACTCCCTGGTATCTGAGACTCAAATCATTTTCCTTTAGATATAAATTTTCAGTCACATATTATCAGCCATCTCAACCCCCGACATCTAAACCTTTTTCATTTCCCCAGAGAAAGCATGGTTCACCTGTATTTTTATTTTACAGGTCCTCAATATATATTTCATATAATCAACTATACAGTAGCTGTTATTAATCCAATGTCCCTGAATGGCATGTTTTAGGTTCAAGTGGGAACCTGGACACCTAAGTAAAGTTTCTATCAGATGTGAAATACTTTTAACACTTCCAACTTATCAGCTATCTGTAGCAAGAGTTANTTTAGGTTCAAGTGGGAACCTGGACACCTAAGTAAAGTTTCTATCAGATATGAAATACTTTTAACACTTCCAACTTATCAGCTATCTGTAGCAAGAGTTACATATCCAGGTCATACCACTTGCATAAACTTGAACTTCATGTTAGCTGCCAACTGGTGGCCTTCTGGCCAATCTTCCTGATAATGAACAATTATAAATAAATAAATAAATCACTGAGACACTCGTAATCATAATTAGAAATTATTTAATTTCTCTCAAGTCAGGCAACTGGACCAAGGTAAATGGACCAAAGACTAAATGATGTCTGTGGTTCAACATGAAACCTAAACAAAATTCGACAACATTAAGATAGCCTAATTATAAGGAGCAGTTAAAAGTGCCATGAGCCTGAAAACATGCTAATGGGCAAATTTAAATAAACAACTTAACAAACCTTTGATGGGGTGCCAAGCACTGCGCATATTTTAAAAATTTCATCAACTTCACTACTGCCTGGAAAAAGTGGCCTGAGTGTGTAAAGTTCTGCCATAATACACCCCACAGCCCAGACGTCAATTGGTGAACTGTAGTTTGTAGAACGTAACAACACCTCAGGTGCACGGTACCTGCAAAATCATACAGAATGTATAAACAACATAACGTACAAATTGTACATGACTTGTAACAGTGTGCAGAGTTTGATAATGGCAAACACTTGGTTGCCATGCTGTGATTTACAATCAGGAAATTATACTTTTAAAATAAATGCACACAAGTAAATCACATAAATAAATAGCTGTGTATGTAAAGTGCTGATCGGACACAATTGACTCACAATTATCAACCAAGTTAACCACAACAGCAAGGCACTTCATGCACATGCATACATGTACAGTGGAACCCCATTAATCTAGTCACCAACAGGCTTCAAAAATCTGGCTGTATTAACAGGGTGGCTGTTTTAAAGGGATTCTTAAAATAAGAAAATGTCTTACTAAGCTTTTGTTTGGGTCAGAAAAAAGTGACCATAACAACTAGGTGGTCGTATTATTAACGGGGTGACTGTACAGCAGGGCTTCCATTGTACTTGAATATACTGTAGTGCTCACTAGTTGAATACACATGGCAACCCTGCTGACTGTTTGACTGCAGAACCAGTTCATGCTCAGGAAAAATATATTTAAAATAATACAGTCTACACATGCATGCATATAGCACACATGAGTCCCGGGATATAAGTGCTTTGTTTATGATCTGAGCTGCACTTGTCACATTTACTGCCTAGCCTGTGCACGTCTCAGATCACAGAAAAGCAGTTTAAATGGATGATGCATTTGGGATTGAAGAGGAAATGTCTATAAACTTTGCTTTGATTATTTTGTCATGAGTTTTAAAACTCATACAATATAGTTTTTCATCATAATCATACCATCTGGTAGAGACATAATCTGTATATGGAGGACGCGATCTGGTTTCTCTGGCAAGACCAAAATCAGCAATTTTAACCAGCTCTGGTCCTGTACACAGCAAGTTTTCTGGTTTCATGTCTCGATGAAAGAACCCTGTTCATGACAATATTAATTAAAAAACATTTAATTTTGTATTTGTGTTCATTTTGATCATCATGATTTGAAATTTTTCTGTTTTGCAGGTGGTCTAATGGACAGTATCATGCTACCATGTGGCACTAATTTTTGCAGGAGATTGTTTTTGGGAATCGGCAATTTTTTGTATTTTGTGGGAACTAATTTTTGTGATTGTAAAAGACTGGTTTTTCTTGCTGGGTACTAATTTTTTCAATTTTCAGGAAGTCATGTTTAATTGAAATTAGTAAAACAATACGTAGAAATGTTAAACCAGCACAGTAATCCACCATCAGTGTCATCCTATCACAATTATGTCATGTTCTTGTGTGGCTGATTGCTCTGGTAATGGATCAGCAATGACATTTCATTGTTTTGTTTCTGAATGAAAGACATGTTTTAAATAAAATGGCAGCAACAAGATTCTTCATGTGATGTTTTTAAATATGTATAATTTCATGAGTGGAGTAAATTTTTGCGGAGGAAATGTTTGCACAAATTTTGTTTTTAACAGGAACTTTTTTTGCCTATAATTGTGGAAAAAATCACAAAAATTAGAACCTGCAAAAATTTAGTGCCACACATTACTGTGTCTGTTGGCCACTTTTAAATGCCTTGCTGACCACTTGCACACTGTCTTGCCTAAATATTGAGCTACGCTGTATAAAATTATGTATGGTGTACATGTAGCACAGTTGAGTGGACCTCAACTTCATCTTGCTCTACCAAGACAAAATGAAGAAAGAACCCAGCTTGTTAGTTTTCCATATCTGGACCTAATGCATGGTCAATATTGTATAATACATATTATAATTTTTATTACACATAAACTAAAACAAATTGATTGTCCCATTGTCGTTCCAATAATATATTCTCTAAGTATTGGACTGGGCACAGTCCCGAATGATCCCTCCAATCACTTGAAGATTTTCTGGTAGTTTAATGGCTTATGGTTTTGTAAGAACTTGCTGTCATATAAATTATTCCTTTTCTTTTTCTTCCAACTCTGTTGCCCTTCTGTTTTTTTTCACATAAGGCATACTAGTAAGTTTACACCTAGTCAGCTACCAATCAGAATATATTATTTTGCACTCTTTAAGTTTTCCTAAACACTTTCAGTTGTGTCATAAATCTCTTATAACCAAGCTTGCTTGGGACCATACTGGAAGAATATGGGCCTTTGGTCTTTTTTGTATGGACCTCACTGTGCACGCAGTCCGTACTGTTGTTTTAAAGACCTTGAGTAGATGTTCTACCTGTATGGCCCTGGTGCTTAATAAGACATTTAATTTGAAACGATGGGCTCATGAGTTAGGTTGGATGAATGTGAATATTTTATCTGATCTACCAATAACCTAGTGCATGAGAGCATTTGTATGGCATTTCCATGTACATATAGAGCCATAGACTTACCATGTTTGTGAATAAAAGCAAGCCCTTGGAGAACTTGGTAAATTATATTCCTAATCATGGACTCTGGAATCAATTTGTCCCTGAAAAATAAACAATTAAAATTTGTAGTAATTTAGAATTATCTTTCATTAAATAATAATTATTACAGTTATATGAGGGCTAAAAAGCTCTAAAAGACTTACTAAACATTTAATGTTATGTTCCCAATTTTTTTCTATAATTTTCAAAAGTGAATACTGTAAATGTCAAAAGGTTTGGGTGTTTTGTAAATGCCTTAACTAATATCCATTTTTAAGCTTTTAGGGTTTCAAATCTTAATAAGTAAAATTGTTTTATCAATAATTTACAATTTTTAGTATACGAAAAAAACTAAGTACTTAACCAAGTTTGGAGTACAATTCTAGAAAGATGGGCTTTCACTAAATTCTGCTAGGAATGATGCTTAACCTCCTCCTCGGAGTCACCACGCAAACTGAAATTCAGACGAGTGTAGCCTGGGCTAAACTTAACACCAATTTAGAAGAGGAGGGGGGGAGGAGGGCAGAGATAAATAATTTTAAAAAAATTAGATAAATAATAAATGAAACACGCAGCAAGAAGTTCTCCACATTTCATGCTAGGTACAATTTACAAGCTGCTGCCAAGGGGAAAGCCAAAAAAAATAAAAAAATAAAAAATAAAAATAAATAGCTAAAAAATGCTTGATTTCTTTAACACTGTTTTCATAAATCCAGACATTCTATATATTAATTGATGTAGTTATGGTAAAATGCTTTCAAGTGCTTTCAAGATAAATCATGGAGTATCACACGAGTCACTTGTATTTCCTTGGTGTAGTGTATACAAATGAGCCTTTAGGCAGGTGTATAATTTACTGAGAAACCATTGTCTGAGAGTCACTCATGGGAACAAACAAAATAATTAATTTTGTTGATTACCTGCTCTTCATCATTTGGTAAAGGTTCTCTTTCATGTACTCAAACACAAAATATAAGTAGTCATTTTCCCTGATTACTTCCTTCAGCTTGACTATATTGGCATGGTTCAATTTCCTGAGAGACTGAAGATTTAAAAAGACAACTACAGTAAGTTACACTGGGTTGACTAAATTCCAAGTCCACCTCTTTCCCATTTGTATAAAATTTATGGGACCTTTGTTCTGAATTTGAGCTTTCAGTTTTCTTTTTTTTTTTAACACTCAAAATTTGGCTACTCAAGTGCTTTCTGGTAATTTTTCCATTCAAAACTTAGTAGTACCTTTGGTTGGTTGATTTCTTTATGGTCACATTGTACTTATTACATATAATTAGGCATAACCTTATTTGTACAATGTAAGTAAGTCTGTTGCATTAATAATTATGCCAAATGTTTCCATTCTTTTCAATGCATAAAGCTTATTCTTTAGGAGTCATTTGAAACTTCCAATCAGTTAAGCTAAGAGAAGAGCTCAAAATAGCAGCATTTGAGGGTGCACAGAGGAAAAGTTTCAAATGTCTTATACATACATGCTTCTCCTTTAAAACAAAGAAAAATATGAGGAAGTGACGTATCAAAAACATTGAGGTAACCTCACATCCAAGATCATGAAACCATGCCAAGGTGTGGCATTGGCCACTAACAGCATCATACTTCAAGTTCATTTTAAGTTTTCATGGGTGCTTGATGCATGATGTCGAGGGTAAAATGCATGCATAGCAATCTCTTGCACAAAAAAATAGTGGAAACATCCTTAAAGCAACAACATGATGGCAGCACCAGATCACACAATAGCTATCTGATTTCAAGGTCAGAGCTGGTCATATCGCCCACAGACCTCTCAACCAAAATTTGTTGTTAGCCCCTCTTCCAGGCATAACAACAATAATTACTTTCAGTGAATTTTGTCTTGAAAAAAAAAAGGGCATAAACAGGGTGTATGCCCAAAATTGTCTTTATCATCCACAACATGACATCTATTTAGCTGAAGGAACAGAACAGCAATCCACAGTGAAATAGTGTTTTTGTGGGCTGCACATGCCGTTAATGATCATCAATAATTATCTAAGAACAATTAAGAGATTATCACAAATGATATTAGCTCTGTGAAAAGCTGAAAAGACATCAGTTTATACCTGGTACATGCATGCTTCTTAGACATTCTACGTATGCCTGCCTGAAGGCATGGAATTTCTTACCAGGAAAAAATTCATGAAGTGAATTTCCTTTTGAAAAGCACAAAGAGATACATTTTTCAACACCGCTCAACACTCGTTAGAAATTGGCCCCCAAACTGTTATCGTGCACCGCTATCTCACCTTTACTTCACGGAGATTTATACATTCTTCCCACGAATAATACTTTCTTTTCATTCTGCAAAAGGAAATTGATAACAGGTATTCAAGGAAACCAATTAATAAGGTGAATATTAGAATATGCGAATAGGTAACCTTGTAAATACAGAAAAAACCCCTGTACAATAAATTACACATCAGCTCACTTTTTAATGGCGACTGTCTCTCCAGTTTCAATATTTCTTGCTAACGCAACTGATCCGTAAGTTCCATCTCCAAGTTGCTTCACATTCTGGTAACGTTTCATTTTGACAAAATATAAATCTTATCGCAAAACACAAATATGAACAATATCGCGCCGAAAGTGGCTTTCAATAACAAAGATGCGTATTCAAATGTTTTCTCCTCTTCTTCCTCATACAAGAAGTAACAAATTCACCATCCAAGAGAACGAAAATCCTTAACCAGTTGCTGAGGTTAGGATCCAAGAGAAAAATCCCCAATCAAGGTTCCTTCTTTTAGAAATCTAAGTAAACAACACAGGTCCCATTCCGCTTTTCTTCCATGCCTGTTTCATGTCGACCCGTTACATGTAAACAGGTCCAACACCGCGTTAAGAAAGCCAGTTCACGAAGGTTCAGTTCCCATTATATACTTCAAGAAAATTCTTTGATCCTTCTACGTGAAGTACACGTTGGCGAGAAATGAATTACTGTAATATTCAAGCTGGCGATGTTCAATAAAAATTGTCACTACACGACCTTTACAAATTTCTTTTTCCCCAATGCAAAATGCCGCTTCCCATGAAGCAAAGCAGTCGATTTGTTACCTGGCAACGGGTTATAACAGAAACCGACGCTCGATCATTCTTCTCTAAACTTTTACGTCACAGTCGGGAAATCTGTTCAGTTGAAGCTTAAAAAATAAAAGCTACCTCAGAATTTTGGCTGCTCTAACTAATGCCATTCTTATAGTTATAATTTATCGATCAAAGACCTTGTTTTGAGGAAATCAAAGCTTATAACAAATCGAAAACGGTACCTTTAAAACCTGGTTTCTAAGGTAAATGACATAAATTAATTATTAAAGAGTTAAAACCAACATCGTCTTTAATTAATGTATTGACTGTATAGTAAATTAGATCCGGAGATAAAAGACGTAAGACTCTCGTGAGAGAAAAAGGATTTCGTGACGCGCGCAACAATGGAAACTGATTCTAGTGATCAGTAGCCGAACAGGCGTAATTTTTTTGCGTACTTCAGGCGAACAGAGGCGAAAGCGAGCTCTTCCCCTTGCGCGCGACTTGCGCTTCGCGCTCGCCTCGTTTTTGCCTCTGTTCGCCTAAGTTACGTAAAAAAGTTTCGTATGTTCTGCAAGCTAGTGATCAGTGGAATCATAGACCAGTGTCGACCAGTTTTTGTGGTCCTTAATGCGATTTTTGTCGTTCGTAAGTCAAAGGATTGATGTATGAAAATTATTCTCGTGCCTTTAATTTCTTTGTTTGTTTGTTTGTTTGTTTGTTTGTTACAGTGCTGGCAGAATGCTTGTGATCAGTCCGGTCCACATTATTTATTCTTCGGCAATTCATATTTTGTTACCTGTTTGAGCTAAAATCAACAACAATATTTATAGCTGTCCAGTGTGTCAGTGTTTATTTTCTATTGCGATGTGTTGATACCGTATTTCATCTTTTGGTGGCTGTTTAGCCACTCAATCAACCACCTCTCCGGGACCTCCTTTTTTAAATGAATAATAATAATAAAACTTTATTGAAGTGTCAGAGGTGTTTACGCAACTAATTGCGGATACTCCGCCCTACGTTAAATTATCGGTAACATTTATTTACAATAGAATGATAACAAATTTACTTAAGTAGGAGTAAGCTGTTTAAAAACCACTTCTAAAATTGCTAATTTAATAAACGAGAGCGGAATAATAATTAACAAGGCAATGTAATTAAAGCATCAGGCATCAAGCGCCGGGTACTTTGTGACAATTAGAATACGCATCCTTCATAAGAACAATGAGGTCCGTATCTCTTATGCTGTTGTCGATCGTCAGTCCCTTAATTTTTACTTCTTAAATTACCACACCGATGCTTAAAACGAAAGTGTTTTTAAAAAAAGGAGACTACAATACCGGTGAAAATCGACCAAACATTTTGACCCATGCCTTTTAAAGGACCATTCACCACCCCTTGATTTTAAATTCAAGATTTGGCCCGACAAACATGATTGAAAATTCAACCTTGGAAATTCAAGATTTTGAAAATTCAAGATTTGGCTTCCTGAATAATGAAATTTCAAGCGACTTAGAAGTGGTGAATGGTAGAGGGCGACACCCTCGTTTTTCTTTTCGAGCCGTAGACATTTGTGACTGTGATGTTTTTGAGGGACTATTAGCCACCCCTCGATAAGGCGTCAAGTTGGCTAAGATTTAACGAGTTGTTTTCATCATAGCCTGCGTTTCAAGCGATCGCCTCAGGAATCCCGCATGAAAGACCCATGAAACAAGTTTCTTTGCACGGCTGGCCGCGCAGAAATTGAGGCTATTAGAATGCGGAAACTGCTCTTCGTTCCTACAGCAGCGGTTGCAATGCCAACTACCAATTTTGCAAGTCCTTTTCTAACTGATATTAGAGTACAGTAGCTGTAGGTCGCCCACGAAATGCGACGTTTTTATCGTTTTTTCGAAGTTTTGGAAGAAAGTTTAGATGTAAACAGATCATTAAATTCCTGAGACGACTGAAAGAAGGAAATTAACGGTTTTTTGACTTTAAAGACTTGAAATCATTTAAAAACCGGGTGCGTACGCGTAAACAACTACAAATTTACCAAGGCCAATTCAATACGTGCGATTTCGTGAAAGCCTGAAGTTCAATAATGCGTAGAAAAATAATTGAAAACAGTTATTTGATTTAATTATATTACAGTTAGAATTCTACTAAAACAATTAGATTATTCTCTCTCGGTTTCTATAAGGTGATAGTTGATGAGGCCGAATTGTTAATTAGTATAAATCTACTAGCGTTCTATCACCAATGTCGTTCTCTGATTGGCTACGCTACTCACTTTCTAGTTAATAATTAGATTATGAGCTTGAGATTTCTATTTAAACAATAGAGTGTTTCTGTCGAGGAACTATCAGACCGATAGTTCCGAGACATAAACCCTTTATTGTCTTTATTGTTCACCACTAAATTTTCTTCCGCGCGCCAGTTCAAATTAGAAATCATATTTTGAATTATTTTCAACGTTTTTAGATGAAAGCCGTGAAAGCCAAATGTAAAATTTAAAAAGGAAAATAACCAAAACCCACTTAATACAATTTCATTTGTTTATTGTTTTTTATAAGCTCGTTTCTTTACAGAAAATTTTTCACGGACGGGTACTATCCATCCGGGAATTTTCCTCGGACGGGCACTATGGGCTGATAGTGGCTCTCCACCGACGAACACTATCGCGTCACGTGATCAATTTAAACCAATAAGAATCGGAGAAAATTTAGTGGTGAACTATAAGAGGTGATAGTTGATGAGGCCGAAGGCCGAATCAACTAGAAATCTCATAGAAATCGAGAGTGAATAATCTAATTGTTTTAGTAAAATTCTTCCTAAAATTTTCTTCAAATAACGGTTTCCAATTATTTCCCGACGTATTATTAAACTTTGCGCCTAAAAAAGATCGCTCGGATTGTCATTTAAATTTCAAGTTGTGTACGCGCGTGAATCGTGCTTTTTTTTTATAATTACAACTTTTTTAAGTCACTGCAAGAAACTGTAAATGTCCTCCGTTTGGGCTTCTCAGGAATTTAATTATCCATTTGCATCAAAATTTTCCTCCAAAACTTTTAAAAAAACGTCGCCATTTCGTAGACGACCTCCGGCCACTGCACACTAATGGCTGATAGTGTGAAATGGCTCAGCCAATCAGATTACAGCATTTGCATTATTCTACTAATCTGTGATAGATAGTAAGTAGCGTAACAGTGTGCCCTTGTTAACAAAATGACGGCCGCTTCTTGGCGTTTTCGAAGTGTCTGTGAAGAGGATTTAGATAAAGTTTTGAACGACTAGTAGATTTGTACTAAAACTTAGATTATTCGATCTCGATTTCTATGCGCGATAGAAATCTCGAGCTCAAAATCTAATTGTTGAATATAGAAAGGCTAGAAACAACAACAGAGTGTTTTTCACTTTCCCCTTTATCAACTAAAGTAACAGGGCGACAGACTGATCCTACGGCAGGGAGAAGAGATTGACACACAAATCAGATTAAGAAAATACTATTTCGCGATATTTTGGTTTGCATAACAAGTCCGTTCTACGCCTGAAGAGGAAAATGAATTAAGCGTAAATTAAAAGACCAGACAGACTGTTAACTGCAGAGGGCCACTGATGAGCCGCACGTAAGACTAAGGCAATTAATGGAGCTATTTTGGTTCTTCCTATAGGACTGACTTTGGAAGAGTAAATGAGACAATTTGACATGCAAGGCTAGAACTACGGAAATAGACTAGCGGAAATTAACCAATATTTCCTCTATATTTAACAAGTGGAACTATAGCCTTTTCTATAGCTACTTAAAAGGACCTATCAGCTACATATAGGAGTTATAAGATACGACACAACGTAAATCGATAGGTTTTGAAAAAATCTAATTGTCCCTCTTTCCAGTCCTGCCATTTTCATTGTCAGTCTCACTCGGCTCATGATCTCTTTAAATCTGAGTTCGGGCACTATCATTATTGGTTTGTGGTTTTGTCTTTATTAGGGTTTGGTTAGCTCTTGACATGAGCCGCTTCCTTTGCCTGAAGCACTAAATTCCTGTGTTGTAATCCTCCGACCCTGGTCTAAGGTTTTGTAAAGACGCCTTGACGCACTCAGCCTTACGTGGTACGTTCTTTTTTCTTCGTCGCCATAAAATGTTTTGCTTCTCATTCGCGACGGCGCGTTTACACCGTTGTCTCGGGTCAAGTCTTGTTCCCTCCCGCGATATATACTCCATATCATGTTGTGGTCAAATATAGAACAGTTTCCATGCTATTTTATAACGTTTTATATCATATTTGATCGCACAACCATGCAGTACAGTCTCTCTACAATGAAACAACCACTGTCGTGTTTATCTTATCACTCAGTGAATCAAACTGATCACTGCGCCGCTCACGTTCGGAATCAGGCAAGCAAAACCTCATGGTATTCGCGACCACACAGTAAATTATCGCGAGGATGAACAGCAGAAAACTGAAGCCAAGTGAAACTCCGGGTCTTGATGTCTTGAATGCAAGCGAGACGAGCACCAAAGAAGTAACGATCGCGCAAACGGGAAACACGTAAAGGGCGCAACGAATCGAAAAAGCTCGCTGCCTGCATTCACATGGGCTTGCCGTCAATCTTGATTCCATGATTTTGGAAACGAAATGCTGAGCTTTTTCCTGAGAATTCACTTCCGTGGTATCTTCCATTTTGTTAAAAAGTGTGCGGTGTAGAACGTTGTTTTCTTGTGTTTTGACCTGATATGTTCCTCGTGGCTTGCTGTGTCGTACAATGTACTTTGCTACACATACTGCGTTTTTATAAACCAATTTCGCCGGAAGTACGTCGACATCACGTACACGCGAATATCAATGTAAGGTCAACAGCTAAAGTTATCGATCAGTTTGTGTAAACAAAAAACCACAAATTTAACGGCCCAAATAATTTTCATTCCTACTGCTTAGCTGTCAAAAAATCTCGAAAACATCGTGGGCTAAAAACTGTTTTGTATCAGAACTTCCTGGCTGCGTTATGTCTC